TTTTATCACTAATATTTTTGGAACTACAAGAGATATCAGCACATTGAGCACCATTTTGGAAAGCAAGACTATAGGCTAAAATGTAGTATATTCATCTTAATATATCATAATGGGTCGACTTTTAAAGATTTTTTCAAAAAGTTCCGATACAAAAATATCGATTTTCTTGTATTACTCCGGACCCGGTTCAAACAACGCCATATGACCATTCATATCATTTGTTGGATAGGCATTTCCATAGCTTTCAATTGATACCCATTTTATAGAATCGGATAAAACTCCGATTTTGAACTCGAGGCTTAAGTTGAGTTTAGGGGCTATGCTCGGATTGACCTGAAATTTTTACGACGTGTAGATCTTTTTAACCTGATTACAGCAGGGTAATTTTTTTGTGGGGTAAATACCCGGTTACCCGGTTATTGGACCCGAAAGTTCAGATACAATATTCGGTTTTTATCCGGTTCTACTGAACCAATAACTACTAAATGGACATCACTTGAAAGCTTATGAAAATACCTATCCAACAAGGGGTCACATGATGAGGTTACTAGAACCGGTTCTACATTGTAGCCTACACTCTGGCCTTTCCAAAAAGGTGCTATTAGTATTGATATCTCTTATAGTTCCGAAGATATTAGTCATGTAAATCATGAAATTGAGTTTTCACCCACTAATATGTATCTCTTATAGCTTTGTAGTTCCGAAGATATTGTCTTTAAAGTCGAATTCCAACTACTTACAAAAATTATAATATTTAGAAAAAACTATGGATCGCGTAGCCGGTGTTGGACATACCTCAGGAGAAAAAATCTAAAGCCCCGGCCAAAGGCCGGCTACTTACAAAATTTACAAAAACTTTGGATCGCGTAGCCGGTGTTGGACATACCACAGAGGAGAAAATCTCAAGCCCCGGCCGAAGGCCGGCAACTTACAACAACTATAATGTTTAGAAAAATTATGGATCGCGCAGCCGTCGTTGGACATACCTTAGAGGAGAAAATCCCAAGCCCCGGCCGAAGGCCGGCTACTTACAAAATTTACAATGTTTACAAAAACTTTGGATCGCGTAGCCGGTGTTGGACATAACACAGAGGTGAAAATCTCAAGCCCCGGCCAAAAGGCCGGCGACTTACAACAACTATAATGTTTAGAAAAATTATGGATCGCGTAGCCGTCATTGGACATACCTTAGAGGAGAAAATCCCAAGCCCCGGCCGAAGGCCGTCTACTTACAACAACTATAATGTTTAGAAAAATCATGGATTATGAGATTAGAGGAGAAAATCTCAAGCCCAGGCCGAAGGCCGGCTACCTACCAAAATTACAGTGTTTAGAAAAACTATGGATCGCGTAGTAAGTGTTGGACATATACCAGAGGAGAAAATCTCAAGCCCCCGCCGAAGGCCGTCTGTTTCAAAATGCTATAGAGGTTAGATACATTTGACTGGAGAAAAAATTGCAATTTAATGATTTCTATTACTAATATCTTCGGAACTACAAAAGATGTCAACACATATGACACCATTTTAGAAAGGTAATAGTGTTGGCTGTTATAAGGGAGGCAGATTTTAATACCCTATATTGGGTCCATTTTTGAGTTTTTATGGGTTTTTCAAAAAGTACTAGTAAAAAATATCAATTTTCTTGCATTACTCTGGAACCGGTTCTAGTAACCCATCATGTGACCCCTTGTTGGATAGGTATTTTCATAAGCTTTCAAATTATCTCCATTTTGTAGAACCGGATAAAAACCGAATATTGTATCTGAACTTTCGGGTCGAGGTATTTCCCCCACAAAAAAATTACTTTGCCGTAATCAGATTAAAAATACCTACCTGTGGTAAAAATTTCAGAACGATCCGAGCATAGCCCCTATGTTGATTCTCTTGATGATAAAAAGAGGCTTCCAATACCAACAATATGAAAGGAAAGGTATATATAGCGTATTCACTCTTTTTAGAAACTGATTTCCTAGGTTTTAAATTTTCGCTTCACGAATGTTGGACTAACTTTCTCATCACAATTTTAAGATTCTTTGTAAGAACTAAATGGACATCACTTGAAAGCTTATGAAAATACCTATCCAACAAGGGGTCACATGATGAGGTTACTAGAACCGGTTCTACATTGTAGCCTACACTCTGGCCTTTCCAAAAAGGTGCTATTAGTATTGATATCTCTTATAGTTCCGAAGATATTAGTCATGTAAATCATGAAATTGAGTTTTCACCCACTAATATGTATCTCTTATAGCTTTGTAGTTCCGAAGATATTGTCTTTAAAGTCGAATTCCAACTACTTACAAAAATTATAATATTTAGAAAAAACTATGGATCGCGTAGCCGGTGTTGGACATACCTCAGGAGAAAAAATCTAAAGCCCCGGCCAAAGGCCGGCTACTTACAAAATTTACAAAAACTTTGGATCGCGTAGCCGGTGTTGGACATACCACAGAGGAGAAAATCCCAAGCCCCGGCCGAAGGCCGGCAACTTACAACAACTATAATGTTTAGAAAAATTATGGATCGCGCAGCCGTCGTTGGACATACCTTAGAGGAGAAAATCCCAAGCCCCGGCCGAAGGCCGGCTACTTACAAAATTTACAATGTTTACAAAAACTTTGGATCGCGTAGCCGGTGTTGGACATAACACAGAGGTGGAAATCTCAAGCCCCGGCCAAAAGGCCGGCGACTTACAACAACTATAATGTTTAGAAAAATTATGGATCGCGTAGCCGTCATTGGACATACCTTAGAGGAGAAAATCCCAAGCCCCGGCCGAAGGCCGTCTACTTACAACAACTATAATGTTTAGAAAAATTATGGATTATGAGATTAGAGGAGAAAATCTCAAGCCCAGGCCGAAGGCCGGCTACCTACCAAAATTACAGTGTTTAGAAAAACTATGGATCGCGTAGTAAGTGTTGGACATATACCAGAGGAGAAAATCTCAAGCCCCCGCCGAAGGCCGTCTGTTTCAAAATGCTATAGAGGTTAGATACATTTGACTGGAGAAAAAATTGCAATTTAATGATTTCTATTACTAATATCTTCGGAACTACAAAAGATGTCAACACATATGACACCATTTTAGAAAGGTAATAGTGTTGGCTGTTATAAGGGAGGCAGATTTTAATACCCTATATTGGGTCCATTTTTGAGTTTTTATGGGTTTTTCAAAAAGTACTAGTAAAAAATATCAATTTTCTTGCATTACTCTGGAACCGGTTCTAGTAACCCATCATGTGACCCCTTGTTGGATAGGTATTTTCATAAGCTTTCAAATTATCTCCATTTTGTAGAACCGGATAAAAACCGAATATTGTATCTGAACTTTCGGGTCGAGGTATTTCCCCCACAAAAAAATTACTTTGCCGTAATCAGATTAAAAATACCTACCTGTGGTAAAAATTTCAGAACGATCCGAGCATAGCCCCTATGTTGATTCTCTTGATGATAAAAAGAGGCTTCCAATACCAACAATATGAAAGGAAAGGTATATATAGCGTATTCACTCTTTTTAGAAACTGATTTCCTAGGTTTTAAATTTTCGCTTCACGAATGTTGGACTAACTTTCTCATCACAATTTTAAGATTCTTTGTAAGAACTAAATGGACATCACTTGAAAGCTTATGAAAATACCTATCCAACAAGGGGTCACATGATGAGGTTACTAGAACCGGTTCTACATTGTAGCCTACACTCTGGCCTTTCCAAAAAGGTGCTATTAGTATTGATATCTCTTATAGTTCCGAAGATATTAGTCATGTAAATCATGAAATTGAGTTTTCACCCACTAATATGTATCTCTTATAGCTTTGTAGTTCCGAAGATATTGTCTTTAAAGTCGAATTCCAACTACTTACAAAAATTATAATATTTAGAAAAAACTATGGATCGCGTAGCCGGTGTTGGACATACCTCAGGAGAAAAAATCTAAAGCCCCGGCCAAAGGCCGGCTACTTACAAAATTTACAAAAACTTTGGATCGCGTAGCCGGTGTTGGACATACCACAGAGGAGAAAATCCCAAGCCCCGGCCGAAGGCCGGCAACTTACAACAACTATAATGTTTAGAAAAATTGTGGATCGCGCAGCCGTCATTGGACATACCTTAGAGGAGAAAATCCCAAGCCCCGGCCGAAGGCCGTCTACTTACAACAACTATAATGTTTAGAAAAATTATGGATTATGAGATTAGAGGAGAAAATCTCAAGCCCAGGCCGAAGGCCGGCTACCTACCAAAATTACAGTGTTTAGAAAAACTATGGATCGCGTAGTAAGTGTTGGACATATACCAGAGGAGAAAATCTCAAGCCCCCGCCGAAGGCCGTCTGTTTCAAAATGCTATAGAGGTTAGATACATTTGACTGGAGAAAAAATTGCAATTTAATGATTTCTATTACTAATATCTTCGGAACTACAAAAGATGTCAACACATATGACACCATTTTAGAAAGGTAATAGTGTTGGCTGTTATAAGGGAGGCAGATTTTAATACCCTATAATGGGTCCATTTTTGAGTTTTTATGGGTTTTTCAAAAAGTACTAGTAAAAAATATCAATTTTCTTGCATTACTCTGGAACCGGTTCTAGTAACCCATCATGTGACCCCTTGTTGGATAGGTATTTTCATAAGCTTTCAAATTATCTCCATTTTGTAGAACCGGATAAAAACCGAATATTGTATCTGAACTTTCGGGTCGAATAACCGGGTATTTCCCCCACAAAAAAATTACTTTGCCGTAATCAGATTAAAAATACCTACCTGTGGTAAAAATTTCAGAACGATCCGAGCATAGCCCCTATGTTGATTCTCTTGATGATAAAAAGAGGCTTCCAATACCAACAATATGAAAGGAAAGGTATATATAGCGTATTCACTCTTTTTAGAAACTGATTTCCTAGGTTTTAAATTTTCGCTTCACGAATGTTGGACTAACTTTCTCATCACAATTTTAAGATTCTTTGTAAAAACGAAGTGAAAGTTTTAACACAATGTTGTCTATTCACCTTTTACAATATATTAAAAATATTGGTTCTTTCCCACTACACAATTTTCATTTACAAAGTTATTTTTAGTTTTAATAACAAAACTATAATTAATATTGGAAACTAACTGGTTGCTCGCCGTTAAATTGTGTGGGTGGGTACGATACTGGAGGAAAATTGGCAGATGGTCTCCAGTTTGGGGGAGGCGGAGCCGGAGTTCCAGATGACCAGGCGCCTGGTGGTAACATTCTGGGTGGCGGAGGAATTCCAACTGGAGGAGGTAGGGTTTGAGCACCACCAATAGGCGGTAGGGGGGGTGGAGGCACAAATGAAGTCTGTGGTGGAGGAACTGGTGGAGGTGGGGGTATCATTGACGACGTGCTCGCTGTTGGAGGGGGAGGTGGTGCCAACAACGGAGGTGGAATAATTTGTCCTGGCAAAACAGGAATCATAGTTGGAACTGGAGCATCCGCAAAAAGCTGATGCGGCCTGTCGGCGTGAGAAGATGGATTTTGCGCAGCTAAAAGCCTTTCCGCTGCTGATCCGTGACGTTCGCCTTTCGAGTCTCTTTTGAATGCGTACGACACAGATATTGGTCTATTGCAAAGATATTGTCCGTTCATTGCATCCATTGCTGCGTCCGATGCCTCGAAACTGGCAAAGTTTATAAAAGCGAAACCTTTAGAATTGCCAGTTTCAGGGTCTCGCATAATCTTTGGAGTTTGCAATATTACACCAAATGCTGAAAATGTATCGTAAAGCAGCTTTTCGTCAACTTCGGAGTCTAGATTTCCGATAAATATATTTGCACCCACATCCAAATTCTTTTGATGAGCAGATGCTTTATTTACTCTTATTGGCTTCCCATAAAGCTTTATCATGTTCATTATTTTTATGGCATAGTCCGCATCATCTTCACTTAGAAATTCCACAAAGCCATAACCTTGGTGCATTTGCGTCACTCTGTCTTTCGGCATATGAACATTTACTATAATATCACATAAAAATTAGTATCAATGTATGTATGTATTACAATATAACTCACCCACTGGGCCTCCTTGAACAAAAAGTTCCCACAGCAAAGTTTCCGAAACTTTATCATCCAGCCCACCGACATAAATCGTAGCATCTACACAAAATACTTGGTAAATTTAGCACAATCTTCTGATAAATATTTATACCTACCTTGATTTCTTTCCGCAATCGGTCCAGCAGCCATATATAAATTCGTCAACACAGTAATTCACGATTTCGACACAAATAGAAGGGAATAATAAATTCATTATGCTTTATCCTGTTCTAAATCGGAACTCATCAGCCAAATAATGTAGCGGTCTTACGACGCTTTTACGTTAGAAGCGCATAGCGTACCAAAAGACTGTCGGACAAACTGATTTCTTATAGTACGTTTACATTCTGCCAGATTTAATAAAACTTGGAATAAATTGACGAGACCGACCCATGGCAGAAGAATACAGGTAGTTGCATCAACGCTTGGCAGCATTGATATGTCAAAAAAATTTTAATTGTTGTTTCAAATATAAGCAGATTTTGATATGTTTTCTTATACTACGTCATTCGGAGGCTATTATAATTCGCGTTTTTTCAATAATTTTTACAAATTTAAATAATTTTTTTTCAATTCCAAAATTGGTTTGACAGTTCATTGTCCCAGCAGCTGTTTCGACGCGTCTACCTATATTTTTCTACCATGAGACCGACCCCTAGTCTCATCTCAAAGAGCAACGAGCAGATCAAGGAAAGATAATAATATTTATAAAATTGACATCCTAACCTAACAAACCCGAGTAGGTTTGGCACAATTAAATCCGAATGGTGTAGCTGCCTCTATTCGTATTGGGCCCTTACCGTGGCAGAAGAATACAGGTAGATCCATCAACGCTTGGGAGCATTGATATGTCAAAAAAATTGTAATGTTTTTTCAAATATAAGTGGATTTTTATATGTTTTCTTATACTACGTCATACGGAGGCTATTATAATTCTCGTTTTTCAACAATTTTTACAAATTTAAATAATTTTTCATTCAACATTTTCAATTCCAAAATTGGTTTGACAGTCCATTGTCCCAGCAGCTGTGTCGACGCGTCTACCTATATTCTTCTACCATGGCCCCTACGTCAACATAGTAATATGTTTTCGTTGCAGTTCCTGCTTGGGTGTTACCGGTAGAGTCATCCCCACAATAATATGGTGGATACAACTGGATGACGAAGATGTGCGTGACGTCTGCCCGGCGTGTGATACAAACATACCCAACTCACTCCAGAATATCTCTGCTTACAGCCCCTTAAAGTAGCCGAATTTTTAAACCTGGAGCCAGATTAGCAGAATACAAATATCCACATGTACTACTGTTACAACAACGACATTAAATTCTGACAAAATTTATATTTATAAATCCACCGTATATGCACATATCAGTGACGGGAACCCGTTTCCTATGTAGGAAATTTGACAAGGTAAATTGCTGAAAATCAGTGATGGATATGCTGATTCGAATTGACTTTACCATCCTTATTTTACCACGGAATAAACAGTTTTCTGAAAAACGGGTTTAATATAAAAATATAATTTCATTAAAGGGTGGTGTTGTATTTATTTTGTAATAAAACTAGTAATTTTTTGAAAATAATTTGTATTGCAATAAGTAGGCTTCGAATTTATGTGTTCACAATTTTTATATTTTTCATCCTCTCTGCTTGCATTGTTAAATTAAAATTTGCTTAATAATTTTCCTATCAGAATTATTCAAAATTATATCCAACAAGTTGTTTTCATTTATTTGATATTTTTTGGCTATTTTTCAAATGCCTCGTATAGAGCGAAAAATGAATGAAATGTCTGGATGTTCTCTCAAAAATATGATCCTAAATGATCAATCTTTCAATTCCGTGCCAAATTTGTTTAATATCATTAATGCGAGTCCCGCTGTTTATGTTTTTATTTTTCAAAACAATAAATACCTACCAAAAATAGGCAGAAGTCGGGCACACTTAGAAAAAAAATGTAATCAGCTGGTAGCTCTACCTTACCTTTTTATTCAACCATGGATCAAACCCCATCCTTTAGAATGTACTGGCCGATGGTGTTCTAATTTCGACCACCACTTACCCCAAGTTCTATGGGGTCACATTCGATAGCCTGTTTAAGCCGTCCGCGCATTCCACAGCTCGCTACGAAAAGATTGGAAGTAGAGACGAGGTTCTCAAGTTTCTAAACGGCAGCACTAAGGGAGCTGATAAGGAAACCTTGTTGATCTCTTACAACACGACCTTAGTGTTACCCAGTGGAAAAATATTCAGCCCCGCCAATAATATTCATGACACCTGTCCGTCAGATCTTACTGTTTTTTTTTTTTTTTTTTAATAATATTTTATATATAAAAAATCTATTGTTGTTCGTTGGCAATTGAGTCAGTTGAGAACAGCTGGACCGGTTTACATATTTTTTTTCTTTAAACGTTCGTTATACCTCGAGTTAGGGTTTTGTGCAAAGAAATGTTGGCTACGGCCACTTTAAAAAAAAAATTGTAACATGTGTTTTAATTCACAGTGTTTCTAAAAATTTTACAAAATTATAAATTTTTCTTTAACTAAGATACCATATAAATTGAAAAGAATTTGTCAAACAATTTTATAGATCAACCTATGATATGTTTTATAATTCTCTCGCATCGTGATTCGAAAGAGCAATTTAAGTCGCAGAACTCGCAATGGTTCAAGTCAATTATTTCCGATCAAATCAAACCGCGGAGTAACCCCAATAGCGGAATCTATTCGACGTACCCCAGAACAACATGAATTTGCAAATGAAGTAGATATGCAAATAATGGCATATAATCATTCAGTAGTATCGACTCAAATGTCACTGCAAGAAGACAAATATATGTTGCAGCCAATTGTTGAGCAACTGCAATTTGCAATCATCAGCATATAGGAACACTGTTTTCGATAATTAAGACGCCATGATGCGTATTGCAACATCGAATTCAAATTTGCAAGTGAGTGACGAGATTTACAATGAGGCTTTGACATGAATTGAGGATATGTGCTTGATAATGTCGAACAAGACATTATTTGCATAGGCATGGCAGCTCCCAATCATCTGGTGCACAACCCATTTAACCCAGAGTTGCGACTCGATAAGCAATATAATTGCGATGCCTTGAAAGAATTAGTTTGATCAAACGTTTCCCCTGTTAAATCGACTACAAAAATATGCTTATATTAGTATGATGAAAGTTGTAAACGATGGAACTGAAGATATCTTTTTTACGCTCGCGGTGGATTTTGATTTTGGCAACGATACGCTCGCAGAATGATATTGCACTTGCACTTCCTTCATCAGGAATTGCAGCTAAGTTGCTGGAAGACGGTCTAACTGCAATTAAATTGCAATTGAATACGCAAATCAATGGAAGTCCAACATGCAACATTTTCAGGAAGAGTACTATGGCCAAAGTTCTGTAACAAAGCAAACTGATCGTTTACGATGAGTACACAATGGTGTATGAAACAATCAAAATCTGTTCGGAGGGGCGATGATTCTGTTGCCTGGCGATTTTCGACAAACATTGCCAGCGATTCCACGGTCAACTCCAGCCAATGAACTTTTTTGCGACGAAAAACATTGATGTCGACGACATGTCAGGAAATAGCTGTACCGGCAGGTATTGTTCATGACGTTTAATAAAAGAAAAATTATTATGCAAATTTTAATTTAACAATGTAAACAGAGGTAATGAAAAATAAAAAAATTGTGAACACAAAAATTCGGAGCCTACTTAGTGCAATAAAAATTATTTCCAAAAAATACTAGTTTTATTACAAAGTAAATACAACACCACCCTTTAATGAAATTATATTTTTTTATATTAAACCCATTTTGTCAGATAACTGTTTATTCCGTTATAAAATTAAGAAAGTAAAGTCATTTCGAATCAGCATATTAATCTCTGATTTTTCTATAATTTACCTTGTCAATTCTCCTACATAGAGATTTGTGATTTGTGTATATACGATGGATTTATAAATATAAATTTTGACAATGAGATGTCAAATGAATAATTAAAATAAAAAATTGTAAACATATGATTGCATGACTTTACCTTCTTCACTTTACCATGGATTATTCTTAATTTTTGCACATACTACAAACCCAGGTACTCTTCCTTGAAAACATCACTAACATATTGATAAATATGTTTCTCCTTGAATGATTCACTGGTTTTTTGACCATTTTCATTTTTTTTATAAATTCCAAGACAATATTCTTTTTCAGAGTTTAATCTTTTTGTTATAGCAGTAGTACTCTGCTAATCTGGTTCAATTTCCAGGTTTTAAAAATCGGCTACCTTAACGGGCTGCATATATATATTCTATATATTTTGGAGTGAGTTGCGTAGGTTTGGCGGTGCAGTTAAAGAGGTGCAGCGTATTGTGAAGGCCTGTATCACACGCCGGGCAGACGTCACGCAAATCTTCGTCAATTCGTGCCCAATAAGAATTGAGACGGCTTCACCATCCTGAACGTAATTACGCCAAAACTACTATGGTTGTTGTTGTTGTAGTAGCTCAAATATCTGTGTTCGTCCGGTTTCCATTTTTCTGACTCCAGTCTCAAAAAGGATGCAACCTGTATGGGTTGTGGCCATAACGAGACTGGAGTTAGGTGAGAAGGCTTGGCTGGGCAGCGAAATAGTTGCAGCGTGTCATGTGAGCCAGTGCGACGGGACGGGGATGGTCTCCTAGCACAATGGCTTCTGAGACCGCATTAGAGTGAATACTATTATGTTGATCTAGAGCAGCGCTGCTCAAGAAAAAATATCCCTTTCCAATCAAATTTCTCTTTGCTTATTTAAATCCAGAACAAAACAGTGTTAAGTTATAATTTATAAAAATATTTTTTATCCATTTGCTTTATAAATTATTTGGCAAGCATTCATGTTTAAAACCAATTAAATGGAATCGTAAAATATAAAGAAATACTGAATTTTAATTTTCTCATAAATAATCTGTTTTTGTCGGCTCATATTCAAGAACACGGTTTTGAGCAGGGCTTATCTAGTGGCTCCCTCGTATACCTCTGTACCTCTCTCTCTAGATCATGAAGGTCTTTCCTAACGTGCCTTTGCGGAGGTTGCCTATCCACAAGATGTTTATTCGGATGACTTTGTCTATAACACCCAAGCAGGTATTTCATTGACAGCATTTTGTTATGCTGTCGCACCGGTAAGACCTTCGCCTCCTCATGTAGGTGATCGACAGGTGTCATGAGAAGTCACCCTGTTGCGGTTCTAAGGGCGGCATTCTGGCAGGACTGAA